CGCGCCCTGCTGCCCCGTCCCCGCGGGGCCCCCCCGTGTCCTGCCGGGCAGGGCCTCACCCGCTCCCTCCGCAGATGATCTGGCCGCCGGGATGGAGGACGTGGACTTTGACGACGAGGGGGTGGAAGAGCCCGACGCGGAGGCTTGGGAGACGGAGGACGAGGGGGTGGAGGACGGCATGGAGGCACAGGACGACAGCGAGGTGACCTTCTCCCTTCACTCAGGTGAGCGGGGGGCGCAGGCAGCGGCCGCCGGGGTCTTTCTCGGGCTCTGCTCCCACTCAGGCCTTCCCCGGAGCAAGGGGCTCCTTGCCAGGCTCCCAGGTGCTCCTGGGGCATTTGTCACACCTCGGGACGGGCTGTCATCCCTGTCCTGTGGATTGTCCTGAGCTCAGCAGGCAGCCTGTGCTGCTCTTCCCCCACAGGAAGAATTGATTCCCACAGGTTTGGGTTGGGAGCTGAGCTCCCTGACATCCTGCCTGCACCCAGTGCTGTGCGGGATTTAGATCCCTGGGAAAGGTGGGGTGAGCGTGAGTGGTGTCTGAGCCCTGTAGCCTCTCGTTACTCTCGTGGGAAGCTTCTGTTTTCTGCGTGAGCCTCGACCCCAAGACCAACGCGCTGGCGGTTACGGGCGGGGAGGACGACAAGGCCTTCGTGTGGCGCGTGAGCGACGGGGAGCTCCTGTTCGAGTGCTCAGGTGAGGTGCTCGGGGCTGTCGTGTCCCCTCCTGGCCTCTCCAGACATGCTCCTCCGCAGCCAGTGCTCTGTGGGAGCTGGGCTCCTGACCACCCTCTGTAGCTTGGCCTGAGCAGGCTCTGTCCTCCCATGTCTGTAGGACACAAGGACTCGGTCACCTGTGCTGGTTTCAGTCATGACTCTGTGTTTGTGGCCACGGGTGACATGTCTGGGCTTATCAAAGTGTGGCGGGTAGATGCCAGAGAAGAGGTGTGGTCCTTCGAGGTGGGGGACTTGGAGGTGAGTGGCAGACCTCTGGTGGTGTGGGGCGCTCGTGGGCCAGCAGCTGAGGCTCAGATGGGTGGCAGGGGGATGCCACCCCTGTGACACTGCTTGTTCCTGTCTGCCCAGTGGATGGAGTGGCACCCTCAAGCTCACGTCCTTCTGGCGGGCACGGCTGATGGCAACTGCTGGATGTGGAAGATCCCCAGTGGAGAATGCAAAACCTTCCAGGGTCCTGCGTGCCCGGCCACGTGTGGCAGGATTCTGCCTGATGGTGAGGCGTGGGAGCTCTGCCTGCAGCTCCATGACAGACCCTGCTGTCACCATCTGCCCTCCTGCTTATGCCAGTCTGTGCTGAGCAGGAGGCAGAGGGGTGAGGGGAGCTCTGTCTCTATCTGCTGGCTTTGTCTCACCCAGGGAAGCGAGCAGTGGTGGGGTATGAGGATGGGACCATGCGCATCTGGGACCTGAAGCAGGGAACCTCACTGCATGTCCTGAAAGGTAGGGAAGAGTTTAATCACTTGAGGTGCTCCCTAACTGGGGAATGGCCCCCTTCCAGTCAATTGACCTCTGCCAGGGTGGAGAGGCCAGGAGCTGCCAGAGGGAGCCTGATGCTGGGTTCCCCTGTTCCCACAGGTGGTTGCTCAGAGTGCTCACAGAGCTGGGCAAAGTGGAGGCTTCAGAAGGGTGGGTTTTGAGGCCCACTGGGTCTCTGTGGGGAGGACAGTTGAAGCTCATGCCTCTCCTGCTTGCCTCCCCAGGCCAGGACGGCCACCAGGATCCCTTGACATGTGTGGCCAGTAACCAGGATGGCAGTTTGATCATGACAGGCTCTGTGGACTGTCACACCAAGCTGGTCAACTCCGCCACGGGCAAGGTGGGTCCGTGCTGGCAGGACAGAGCCAGGAGCCCTGGGGAACGGGGGACCGGCCTGCCCAGCCCCTCTCCTGGGCGAGGCAGGGGGTCCCCGGGTGGGCCCA